GTACATGCATTACGTGCATGCCGCGTCATGGCCTCGGAATAAGCATCTGATTTCAGAGCACGAGCCACTGAACCCACGTGCTCTCACCCAGTACGAGCTCCCAGTTCGAAGAGTGTCATGGTACTAGTGGTCGCAAAGCGTTGTATGATGAATCGATCCCCTTGGAGTCGGCGCCTCCGTCACCAAACTCCCTGCACTAACACCAAGTCTAGTCTACTTCATAACTAAGAGCTCGCATGCAGCATCAAACCATAAAGGCAAAGTGGTTAACCGGTACTACTATTTGCTTTGACGAACCGTGTGGTCGCATCCATGACCCACAATCCTGCGATGCAATGTCCAAGGTTCATGAACCCGTCGTCGTGTCGCGCCTCCACATGCTGCCACGTGTTCGCCTTGCCATTGGTGGGTGGGAAACAGGTGTGTTTTGCATACTGAATGCGAGTTGCGTGGAAAGCCCACGCGTGTCTTTTGATTTGCACCAAGTGACACTCGCCGACGTCATTCTTGTGCGAGGACGTGAGGGCCACTGTACCGTAACGAGCGCACCACCTGTCGCACTCACCAAGAAGCATGCTCGTCGCCAAGCTCCTGGTAGCGGCGGCCCTCGTCGGCGTCGAGGCAGCGGTCTGCCCGTACAAGGACTACCCGTCGGGCTGGCTGCTCGTCGCCGATGGCAACTGCTCGGCCTCCATCACGCTCTGTGCGACCAACAACAAGTGCGACCGCAAGGTGGCCATCGACTACGGAACCAACACGACGTTCTCGGGCTGGACCGGCGTCGGCAACTTGGCCGACTACGCGGCCGACGAACTGTACGACAACGCGCGCGCTGTCCCTGCATACACTCATGGTGACGCTGCGTAGGACGTTCAAGGACTCGGCGTCGCTCACGATTGCGCGCATGAGCTTGCCCAACAAGGTCAACTACCTGTACGCTTGCATTTGCGCCCGTGTATCTTGCTAACGAATTGTCGACGCTAGGTCCTTTGACAATGTGACCAAGATCGACCTCGACAACACGGCGCTGACGCAGTGGAGCTCGGTCAAGACCTTGTAAGTGCATTTGAATCGCTAGGAATGATACTGACAGACCAATTGGTAGGGAAATTCTCAACAGTCCCGTCAACTTTCCCAACATTGGCGTCGTATGGCCGACCAACCTCGACCTCGTGTACGATGCGATTTGGATTATAGAATATTTGCTCAAACTGTCCGTAGTGTGCTCATGAACAACAAGATGAACAATATTCCGCAGTTTCTTCCGACGACGCTCACGCAACTGTCCTCTCTTGCCTTCCACGCGATCGTATCTAACCCTATTTTGCTTCTATAGGGCGATTCAGAGCAATTACCTCACGGATCTTGTGTATTTGCCCAAGAATCTCGTTTTTTTGTACGCTCCATTCACCATATTTGAGGTTTGAACTATGGATCACGTTAGGAACATTGCCGACAACAACTTCAAGACGCTAACCAACGTCGACTTGCGCGCACTGGAATACCTGTACATCGCTCTCGTGTCTTTTGCATTCGCATTACTTGGCTGCTGCTAGGTACATTCCCAACAATGACCATCTGACAACATTTGCCAACGTGCAGCTGTCGTCCAAGCTCGCCTTTGTGTACAGTCTCGCAAGTGGCAACGCCGTGCTCACCATGCTTGTGTAGCCACATGATCAACTGCTCGAGCCTCACCAACATCACGCTCGATGCGACCTCGTACGCCGCCCTCAACAAGCTCCAGCCGTGGAATGGTGACACCGAGACCGACACGCCGACAGGCTACGCCATCAACTACGCGGTGGCGACCGACGCTGCCGCGTGCACGGCGGTTGGCGGGTCCATCAAGAAGCTGTGGGAAACCTCGTCCAAGGTCTCTGTCACTGCGTGCGTCACTGGCGCGTCGGGTACTATGACACGTTGCGTTCTATGTGTTTCGATGGCTCATTTTGACGACTAGGGAATGCAACGACGACGGAGCCGTCGACGTCGGGTGGCAGCAGTACGCCTTCCTTTGCGACGACCACTACTAATTATGTGGTGTAGACACGGGGCTTATTGTCGGCATCGCTGTCGGCGTCGTCGTCGTCATCGCCGTGATCGCCTTCTTTGTCCTTCGCCGCAAGCGCAAGAATGAGCCAGCGCCGGCCTCCAACGGCTTTCAGTGCCAAGCGCCCGACTACGGGTACGGCAAAGACACGACTGGCACGGGCGGCCATACCAACGGCACCGGTGGCTACACCAACGGCACCGGCGGCCTCACGATCGGCACCAACGGCACCGGCGGGCCGTCCAACGGCACCAGTGGCACGCGTGGGTCCCTTGCTTACCCCGACGCCGACATCATTCTCGACGTCAAGCCTCTGCTGCACCACCGTCTCGAGCTCTCAGATCTCTATGTGACGTCCAACAAACCGCTCGCCTCTGGCGCCTTTGGCGAAGTTTGGCTCGGCTCGTACGGCGGCAAGCAGGTCGCGATCAAGCGCATGAAGAACCAAGAGGCGCGTATGGTCCAAAAGTTCATTGACGAGATCGTCCTCATGTCGCAGTATGTTCAACTCGATCTTCACTCATTCAGCGGTGCAGCGCCTAACGTTGACAATGTGTAGGATGAGCAGCGACTATATTGTCAAGTTTGTCGGCGCCAGCTGGACCCGTCCGATCGAGATCGAGTGCGTCGTCGAGTTTATGGACCTTGGCGACTTGAGATCCTTCCTCGTCAACCAGTCGCCGGCGCAGTTTAGCTGGGACCAAAAGTACAACTGCATCCTGGCCATTATCCGGGGTCTGGTCTACCTCCACACGTACAAGCCGCCGATCATCCACCGCGATCTCAAGTCTCGCAACGTCCTCCTCGACTCGGTCAAGGGCACCAAGCTCACCGACTTTGGTGCTTCGCGCGTCGCCGAAGAAGACGATCTCATGACCAACGGCATTGGCACGTACCAGTGGATGGCGCCGGAAGTCATCTCGGGCACCAACTATGGCGCGCCGGCCGACGTGTACTCGTTCGGTATCATCTTGTCGGAATTTGCGACGCACCAAGTGCCGTACGCCGACCTGCGGCACCCGGACTCTGGCAAGCCGCTGCCGCAGCACTACGTCTTGAACAACGTCCGCGAAGGCAAGCTGCACCCGACGTTCGACGGCGAAGGCGTGCCGGCGTGGGTCAAGGACATTGGTCTGCAGTGTCTCTCGCTGTACGAAGAGGACCGTCCGACGGCGCTGCAGTTGTCGTCGATGCTGAGCCGCTGCAAGCCGTAAGCAACGAACGGTAAGCAGTGCTTCTTACGAGAATTTTGCGCCTTTTGAACCATGCAATGAATGGATTTGTGTTGAATCTAGTTGTTGTTTACTGGTATCGTACAATTCGTAACTCGTGCAATGGCAATGATCCGATAATGCCTCGAGTTTGCACTTGTGCGAAGCTCGCAATGGGGAGCCATTTATCCGGATCCGGTTGAACACCGACCCATGGTTTGAGGACCGCCGAGGAACGACGGGAGCAGTCGCTGCTTCCGTACCTCCAGCCGAATGAAATGGCGCGACTACTAGTACAGGCGAGCCGTCAGAGTTTGGTCCGGTGGTGTATTATTGCACTTTCGAACCGCATGGTACCACCTACTCCTTGCTCTGTGACACTGAACGCAGAACTCCGACGACTCTTTGGTTGACGGTTTACGTCTTGTACCAGGTAGGTTCAGCTGCCGGTTTGTTACTTCACTCATTCGGTATCACGTCCGCTGTGACCAGAGGTTTGTGCCCAGCAAATGAACGGCTTCCGTCGAGGCAGGCGCCACCAAATGCAACTTGTAGCTCGGCCGTTCGAACGATCGAACAGTGTGGATACAACCGACGCCACACTGTACTTTCTCGCAATAAGATCTGCAGCATACATACATTTGGACACTGATCTTATTGCTCTACTGCACGCATGGCCAGCACCGTCTGAACAGTGCGACCCCGTGCAAGGCGCGCGACACAGCGGCCCTACAAACCTCAAGTCGACGACGTTTCTATTCCCCACGGATTGGCGCTATCGAGGCGCCATCTCATTCTCCAAGAAGCATGCGCCGTGCCAAAGTGCTTTTGACGGCGGCGACGGCCGTCCATGCGGCGACAGCCTGCCCGTACGCCAACTACCCGAGCGGTCCGATCCTTGTTGCCGACGGCAACTGCTCCCAGCCCCGAGCCGTGTGCGTGACCGACAACACGTGCAACCGACGCAATGCGACGAGCATTCCGGGCTACATTTTTTCAAACATTACGAGCCTCGGCAATTTCAGCGACTACGTTGACGACAGCGTGTACGATCGATCGATATCTACGTGGCGGACCCTAATCTCTACGACTCGACTAGGGTCGTCAAAGACGTGCCGTCCATCACGATCGCCAACATGGTGTTGCCACCGACAGTGGCGGGGCTGTACGACGCTTTGGTGTTCTTCTCCTTTTGTACTGATGTCACATTTGACTAGCATTTTTGATAATGTGACCAAGATCGACTTGGAGAATACAGCGCTGACGCAGTGGGACTCGATCGAGACCATGTTTGTGGTTCCACATGTCGATATTATGCTCATGACTGTCTACGATGCTAGGGCGTTCATCGATTGCCCCATTATCTTTCCCAACGTGGGTCTCGTATGGCCCCCCAACATTGATTTTTTGTCCGCGTCCTTTTGGTATATAGTCCATTGTCTCACTGTGTACTAATTTTAGATGGCTCGAAAACAACAAGATGAACAACATTCCGCAAAACCTTCCGTTGACCATCTCGCAGTTGTACGTGACACTCCTTGGGATGCTTATCGATAATATTGTCGAATATTGTAGGACGGTCAGTGGCAACAACCTCCTGGACATCAACTACTTGCCAAGCTATATTCCGATCGTGTACGTCCAACGACCACACCTATTTTTTTCTCAACTCTGCCTCGTGTAGGGACCTTCCAAACAACAAAATCAAGTCGATCGTTAACGTCGACTTGCGCGCAGTCCGACTTTTGTACGTCTACAATCTCTTTATATTGTCTCACTGCGACATAAATTTAGGAACCTCGCCAACAATACAGGCTTGACGACCATCGCCAACGTTCGATTTGGCAACCTTACCTCCTTGTACGCTGCGTCATTATTGACGCCGTCATCTATCGTATTCACTTGTATCTCTCTAGTCAGCTGACCAACTGCTCGGGCTTGAACAACATTACGCTCGATGCCGAGTCGTATGCGGTTCTCAACAAGCTGCAGCCACCGGACCCGAACCTCGCCAAGGACGTTCGCGTGCCGCCAACATACTACATCAACCACCCAATCGAGACGAACGCCGCCGCGTGCACGGGCCTCGGTGGGTCAATCCAGAAGCTGTGGGCCAACACGTCCAAGGTCGCGGTTACCGTGTGTGTGACGGGTGCTTCCGTGGCAGGTAGTACTGGCACAATTGTTGTCGTTCGAGGTTCTCATAGTTGACATGTACTAGCTACGAATGTGTCAACCACCGACACCAGCAATAACAGTACGAAATGCTCATGTAAAGATCGTGGCCGAGGGTGGCGAATGCGTAGGTACGGGCCTCATTGTTGGCCTTGTCGTTGGTGTCGGCGTCCTTCTGGCTCTTGTCGCCGTCTTTGTCGTTCGTCGTCGGCGCCGCCAAGCAATTGACGACTACGTGCGCTACCATGTGCCTGGAACCGACGGCACCGAGGGTCTCTCCAACAGCTTTAGTGGGCGCGGTGTCCTCGCTTACCCCGACGCCGACGTCCATCTCGACGTCAAGCCACTGCTCGACTACCGCCTCGAGCTCTCAACCCTGCACGTGACGTCCAACAAGCCGCTCGCGTCTGGTACGTTTGGCGAAGTCTGGCTCGGCAAGTACGGCGCCGAGCAAGTCGCGATCAAGCGCATGAAGAACCAAGAGCCGCGCAGTGTCCAAAAGTTCATTGACGAAATCGTGCTCATGTCGCAGTACGTCAACAATTCTATCGTTCTATTCTGTGCGATGAAACGGTTACGACGACAACTTGTGCGTAGAATGCAGAGCGACTACATTGTCAAGTTTGTCGGTGCCAGCTGGACCCGTCCGATTGAGATCGAGTGCGTCGTCGAGTTTATGAACCTCGGCGACCTCCGCAGCTACCTCGTGAACCAGTCGCCGGCGCAGTTCAGCTGGGACCAAAAGTACCAGTGCATCCTGAGTATCGTCCGGGGTCTTGTGTATCTTCACACGCACAAACCGCCGATCATCCACCGCGACCTCAAGTCCCGCAACGTCCTTCTCGACTCGGTCAAGGGCACCAAGCTCACCGACTTTGGCGAGTCCCGCGCCGCCGAGGCCAATGATACGATGACAAACGGCATCGGCACGCACCTCTGGATGGCACCGGAAGTCATCTCGGGCACCCACTACGGTGCACCCGCCGACATGTACTCGTTTGGCGTCATCCTCTCTGAGTTTGCGACGCATCAAGTACCGTACGCCGACCTGCGCCACCCGGACACGGGCCATCCTGTGAACCAACTCTACGTGATGAACCACGTCCGCGAAGGCACGCTGCACCCGACCTTTGACGGTGAAGACGTGCCGACGTGGGTCCAGGACATTGGTTTGCAGTGTCTCTCACTCAATGAAGACGACCGACCGACGGCACTGCAAGTGTCGGCGATGCTGAGTCGCTGCAAGTAGTGCATTTTGTAATATGTAGGAGCTCGTAGTTG